CCTAGATGGTGGGTTGTTGTTTGTCCTGGTGGAATTTTAGCTGAGACTTGAAGGAAGCCAGGGAAGCCAGGAGGTGGAGATGAGAAGGGAAAGCATTTCAGGCATTTGGGGCAGATAGTAAAAATACCTGGAGTTAGGAGATGGAATGTCTTGTTTGGGGCAGGAAAAGGAGGCCAGCATCACTGGAGCATATCTGGGTAGTATGTAAGGTGTAAGAAGACTGGAAAGGTAGGCAAGCATCAGATTATGAAAGACTTTAAAAGCCAAACAGGATTTTTTTTGTCCTGAAGATGATAAATAGAAAGCCATTGAAGTCTGGTGGTGGAGGTGGTGGTGGTGATGGTGTTTTGGAGGTTTGTTTGTGTTATGGGGGATGACATAAAAAGACTTGTGGTTTAGGAGAATCATTTTGGGAGCTGAGTGGAGGATGGACTAGATTTTAGAAAGACTTGAGACAAGGAAGGAAGGAAGGGAGAAAGCAGGCATTTATTAAGCACCTACTATGTGCCAGGCACTGTGCTAAACACTTTACAAATACTATCTCATTTACAAATACTGTCTCATAACAACCTGGGGAGGTAGGTGTTATTAATGTCCCCATATTACAGTTGAGGAAACTTAGGCATACAAAGATTAAGTGACTTACTCAGGGTCACACAGTTAGTAAACATCTGAAGGAGATCAAAGGAGAGTCCAGAAGTAGGTCATGGGAAGCAGAGAGAATTCTGACTCCCCTACAATGACTAATGCAGGAAGGGGGTATGAGTGAAGTTGCAACCAGTGCTGGAGACAGTAGTCAGTACTGCCATGTCATCAGGAAGGAGACAGATTTCTCGACAAGTTCAAGAGGATAGAAGGAGTGAGAAAGCAAAAGGTCTAAGATGCTATCAGAATTCTTAACTATAGAGTCATCAGTCATTCTGGAGAGCGCAGTGGAAGGGGCAGGTGGATCTGGAGTGCAGATTGGACCCCTTGTGAGGAGTCTGGTTGAAGGGGGATGCAGAAAAGGGAGCAGGCAGAAAGACAGAATGGGATTCGTAGAATGACATCTAGGGTTTCAGAATCATTGGGATGAGAGAGTATGACTAATATGAGTTAAGGCAGATTAGTAACTGGAAAGAAATCCATTAAGGAAAGGAGGTGATTAGATTGCACAGGACCCTCCCTTGAAGTCCAAACTGTTGGCAAATAATGATGTTGAGTCTTATAAAGCCCAGGAGGCCCAACTGACAACAAATATGAGCTATCCAAGGTACGTCCAGAATGACTGGACAGGAAGTAGGAGCTGGCATTTCAAGGTGGGTCTGACCTGATCTTTGGAGTGTTGGAAGAGATCCTGGTGCAAAGACAGAAACCAGAAGGCTGAGGCCTGGATCAGGGCTGATACAAAGGACCTGGGAAGACTCAGGAGTAATGTAACATGCTGGGTCAAGGCGGATACAGGAATGTGGACAAAGAAGCACAGGCAGGTAGGCACACAGGCAGGCAGGCTGAATCTAGGGCTCTAAGTTGCAGGTGTGAGGGCAGAGACCACAGGGACACTGGAGCTGAATTCCAGAAGTAGCACCACCTGATAAGTCCCAGATGCCACTGCTCCGGTGTACATATAGTATCTGGCCCCCTAATCATGGCTCAGAGAGATAAATTTCCCCTTAATCAAAAAGGTGTTGTATTTCTGTACAACAATCAGTGGCATCAAACTATAATACAAGGCAAGCCACTAATCTGTTCATCGGGATCCCCGCAGGCCACAGGTTGACTTAGTTTTAAAATGTGATGTTATCTATATTGTATTGTATTTGTATTTCTTCTGTTGAGTATTTCCCAATGACATTTTAATCTGGTACGGGTTGCACTGGATGTGATGCCTACAGGCTATGTTTTTGTTTTTGACACCTCTGTCTTAGATGACACTGTCTTCCTCTTGTCATTCTGGTTTTAAATAAACCAAGATATTTGCCCTAAGTATCTTCCAAATCTTTATGCTTCAGACAGTCTATGTTCGTTGACTTTTTTTTTAAACCTTTGTTGTTGACAACTCACTAGGGAGTGCAGTAGGAAACAAGGCATTTAGAAGATTATGTAAAAACAAAATATATCAGTAAATTATGTCTGTTCTTATCCCAGCCTCTGTCAGAGCTCTCAGAATTCACTAATCAAGTTTCCTTTTCCTCATGCTCATTGTGAATCAGTTTCACTTTCCACTTTCTATTCCAGTTTTAGTTACCACAACACTGCTCTCCACCCCCAAACACACACTCAGTTTCACTTTCCAGTTTCTATTCTGGTTTTCGCTGCCACAATTCCACACTGTGCCGCCCCAAAACACACTCTTTATCTGCCGATTACTTTTTCCTTTGAATTCAATTGCCTCGAGAAGCCATCAGACAAGTACACTAAGCTTCTAAATAGGAAATCAGACTCTTTCACATCCCTACAGAACCACAAAGAAGTAGCCAGAATTGATGAAGAGAAGAGTTTTTTTTTCTTTTCTATTGCCTTTGAAATTTTATAGCTGGTATTTTATCAGACTTAAATGGATGAGCATCATTCATACCCACTGAGGGCAGATGTTCATCTGACCCAGTTAGGAGAGAGCTCCCCCTCCAAGACAGTATATGATCATTGTCAAATGAGTAACACAGCTAATTGCTAGGGCAGTTCAGAGGGGGGAAAGAGAACAGCAGGCCAAAGGCTTTACAGAGAGTAAGACTTTAGCTGTATTTTAGAAGATGAGTAGAATTTGATTGAGCAGCCCACTGGGAAGAGGGCATTTAAAGGGGAAACGATATGGGCACAGGCACCATAGTCTAGATAGGCAGAAACAGAGCTTGAAAAATATGAAAGAAGATCTCAACAAAGTGAGCAGACACTGATCAGATTGAAGTACTTACTTGCATAAATAAGAGAGCAAGGTTCAGGACTTGAGGGTCCAATGAAGGAACTGGGACCTTGTGAATAATGGCCTCGTGACAAAAGTCACTCCCAAATGTCATTCTTTGTTCTTCAGGGCATTAACGCTGTATTGACTATGAGACCCAGTCTGAACTCTGACTCTTAGATTGCTGTGACTCACTCTCCCAACCTTTTGAACTACCTAGGTCAACATGGTTTCTCAACAGCTGTTGTCACCTTGGGAGCCACCAAAATTCCCCAAAGCGAATGAGGCAAAGAGACCAGACCAAAACTCTTTCAAGCCTTTGATGAGGCTGGCAGTTCTGCTTACACAACAATAGAAAAAGATTCTTCCTAACAAGTCAGTCGATTTCAATAAACGTTTATTCAGCACCTATTTTGTGCCAGGCTCTGTGCTAAGCCCTGAGGATACAAAAAGAGGAAAAAACAGCCCCTGCCCTCAAGGAGCACATGATCTAATGGGGAAAAAAACAAGCAATTAAAATTACATACTTTACAGGATAAATAGGAAATAATTAAGAGAGAAAGCATGAGAATTAAGAGGTGTTGGGGGATAGCAGGAGAAAATGGCCAGACCTGAGAGATAGGGTATCTTGCTCATGGAACAGCAAGGAGGTGGGTGTCACTGGATGGAAAAGTACTTTTGGGGAAGTAAGGTATAAGAAGACTGGAAAGATAGGAGAGGGTTCCATTATGAAGGGCTTTGAAATCCAAACCAAGAATTTTGTATTTGATCCAAAAGGCTATAGAGAACTCCTGGAGTTTATTGAGTGGGCAGATGACATTGTCAGGTCTGTGCTTTAGCAATGTCACTTTGGTGGCTGAATGGAGGGCGGGTTGAAGTGGGGAGAGACCTAAGGCAAGCAGATCCACCAGCAGGCTATTGAAGTAGCCCAGACATGAAGTGATGAACAATGTTAGAAGAGAGAGGGGGGTGTATTTGAGAAATGCTGCAGAGGTGAAAAATGAACAGAACTTGTCGACAAATCATATACGGGGAAGGGCACTGACACTGTTGGCTATGAAAACCAGTCTGAACTCTGACTCTTAGATTGCTGTGACTCATACATATACAGGGAAGGGGGGTGAGAGATAGTGAAGAGTCAAGTCTAGGTCGGTGGCCTGAGGAACTGGAAGGATAGCATGGCAAGGGGAAGCAAAGAACATTCCAACTTCCCCACCTTAACCATTGAGTAGAGGGGAATGAGCGAAGGTGCAGCCAGTACTGTAAAAGGGTGGCCAGGGAGTCTATGTCATGAGAGGGGAGCCAGGTTTCAGGTATAACTAGAAGATTTTAGGAGAGAGAAAAGATTTTGGATGAAGGAAAGTGTGTTGTTTATGAAACAGGCATTCCAGAAGGCATAGTGGCAGGAGTAGGTGGCATTTGGTTGGAACATTAGGGTGAGAGGGTTGAGGGGGGTGGGAATAAGAAATAAAGTGGTAGGGGATGGGGAATAAAATTTGGATGATGATCTACAGGGCTTCAGAATGCCTAAGATGCAATGTGTATGACCAGATGTGAGAATGTTCATCATTGGGTGGAGGACACCACGCCTCAGGGGAGGCTAGAGATGGGTTTGGAGACAAGTAGATCATGAAATGGAAGGCACATGGTCAGATAGGAGGCTGCCTTTCACTACTCCTCTTCCATCTGAAGGCTGGAGATTAGAAAGGAAATTGTGCAGCAGGAGACAGAAGCTGAACCTGCAGAGCAGGATATGAAAGCCCTGTTCCTCATTTATTTTCTTCCCCTTCCCTCTAGAACCAGGATCAGGAGGAGATGGAAGGCCTGCAGTCAAAAGGGTTGACGCTCTTCTTTGCATGGAGGTTCTCCACATCACTATTGGGAGATCAGACCAGCAATATAATATGGAAGCTGCCTTGTGTGGGCATGGATAGAAGGCTCTCTCTAGGCCTCTAGCAGACCTCCCTCAAGGGATATGTTTTAAATAGAAAGAGTAATCAGGGCCTAAAAACAGTGCTCTCTCTCTCTCAGGGCTCTCGATCCTCCCCTCCACCAAGAGAAGGGAAATTTGCAAAGTATATCCAGTTGGGCCAAGGAAAGGTAATCCATTGCCATCTTCTTTTCAGAAATAATTATGGGTAAGTATGAGTCTCATTTATTTAAGGTTATTGTTAAGGAGTCTGTTTTCATGGGATAGGAGTCATTTAATAATGTATTTGGAGGTTTGTATTGAGAAAGGAATTTTTCCTGATTGTGATTCATAATATCCAATCAACAGACCTTTCACTTAAGCAGCATTGCACATTTTTAATTGCGTTCAACTAGCCAACTACACAAACAAAAAAAGATCCCTTTGTGGACCAAGTAGCGGTCCTTAAACAGGCGCAGTGTTGTGGCCTCCTTTACAACTTTTGGTAGAAAGATATGGGCATAGAATCTATTAAAAATCACCTCCTTCTTAGATATTTATTAAATGTCAGACAGATTCGATGAAAAACTGGGAGAGCATCTCCTTAGAAATCCATGTGTTCTTATGGTAGAGAGCTGGTACAGAAAATCAGGTAGTCATTGTTGATACCATGAGGATAGGGATCGTGGCTTATTTGTGTGAAGATTCATCAAGAGGGCCTGGTCACCCTGATGAGGTTTAAAGAATAATACCCTTATTTGGAATATTTATTATGCGTAAAAAAAATGACTGCATAAAGGTACAGAGTTGTGCCTCTTTAATAAGAGAGAATTTCCCAATGGAGTCTTTAAGGTTTAACACTGGATGATTAGAGTGATTTAGGCTATTGAGGATTGTGGCTGCCCTGTTCACACTGGAGCTACAAAAGAAAAAGGGGCAGCTAGGTGGTACAGTGGATAGAGCACTGGGCCTGAAGCTGGAAAGATCTAAGTTCAAATCTGGCCTCAGACACTTACCAGCTATGTGACCCTGGAAAAGTCACTTAATTCCTGTTTGCCTCAATTCCTCATCTAAAACTTGGAGACATACTAGAGAAGGAAATGGAAAACTACTCCAGTATTTTTGCCAAGAAAATTGCATGGACAAGTCCATGGCATTATGTAAAGTTGGACACAATTAAACACCAATGAAAGAAAAAACTATAAGAGTATATTTGCTGATTCAGTCAGAGAAATATGTAGATCTGTGAACACAGATCAGGCTGGAGAACTGAGAAGTACATCAAGGCTTCTGCTGATTGAAGCTTGTCTCTTTGTAGAATTGCCTTTTCTTATCCAAGAACCTATCTTGAGACTCCCCCAAGATTGAACCTGTTCTAAAGTTCATGGCTTTGGGTGCTGGGCCAGAGGTTACATATGTCTGTGACAAGGTCATGCACAAAAAAAAATTGTTTAATAAATGTTGAATTCCCTCTGTTCCCTTCCTGGGTTTCTGTTCATTCTTCTAGCTCCTTCACAGGCCAGCCCTTCATCTTCCTTCTTACCACTAAATATCAGCCCTCTCTCTGTTCTTCCTTCTGCTCTTACCAGAAAGTTTTTGAACACTTTTTTTTAACACATCTCTATTTCGCAAATCACTTTCCAAATGACATTGCTGAGGAGATCAGTCACCACTCTGCCAGCCCCATATCTCCAGTAAGGGGGCATTTTAATCTGAATACTCCCCTGTCCCTGCATACAGTGGATCCCTTGCCAAATTCACCTTTAAGATGAAAAGCTGTTAGACTTCAGTTCATTTGGTCCTATGTTCTCATTCGGAGACAAGGAAAGTGAGGTTCAGAAAAGTGAAATGTCCCAGATCAAACAGTTGTCCCACTTCTGCCCTCGGTCCCTTACACCAGAGGTGTCCAACTCACAATACTCAGACCTCAAGTGACCAGCAAAACTCCCAAAGACTGAACCAGATTAAAATGTAATTGGGAAATGTGTAACAAGAAAAATAAAAATGCAATAAAACATAAAGGAAGTTTGAGGTTTTCTAAGTCAATACGCAGCTCACAGAAATCCATTTTTTTCTTCTGAGTTTTAACCCCACACTGCCTTATATCACTTTCTCTACCACTAGTTTGCCTGATTTTTAATAAAAAAAATTTCCCAAACATTTTCCAAATCATTCTGCCCCAGAGAAGGGTCTATATTCGTGGCTTATTCCTTTCAATCACGTATATTCTTTGTCATAAGGAATGGTTCCCTGGGCAAAGTAAGGGGAAGGTGGAGACGAAGGGGAAGTAAGGGTGGGCAGAGGATGGGTAAATATTTAGCAGTGATGGTAATAATACAACAAAAGACAGGAAGTATTGTTTTGTTTTGTTTTAAAACCAAGTCGGTGCCTTTCAGTATCCCTCATTGCTGGCATTTAGTGCTCACTCAGTTCCTCTGACTTACTGTGAGTGAGTTTCAGTTTCTATTTCTCCAAACCCACAAGCACATGACTTAATAAGCTCCTCCTTTTTTGGCTATTTAGCTCTGTCTGCCTTGTGCTGCCTGAGAGAAGCAAAGCTGGCCTCTGAAGAGGAAATCAGACTCTTTCCCATCTCTTCAGAACCACAGAGAAGGAACCAGGAATCAATCATGAGGTAAAGAGCTTGCCTTCTATTGCCTTTGAAATTATCTAGCTGCTGTTTTATCAAACTTAAATGGATGAGCATCCTTCATACCCACTGAAGGCAGATGCTCATCCATCCCAGAAGGGGGAGAGAGCTCACCCTCCAAGACAGTATATGATCAATGTCAACTGAGATTCCAATGAAGGAATTGGGACTTCGCCCTGTAGAGAGTAGGGAACTATTCAAAGGTTTGCAAATGGAGACATGACCTGATGAAAGGGGTTATGTTAGGAATATTAATCTGGCGATGGTGTGGAAGAAGGACTAGTAGCAGTACAGACTGGAGTCTAGTGAGAATATTTAGGAGGCTCCTCCAACAGTCCAGGCATGAGATGATGAACTTAGAAGCAAAGTCTGAGTCCTGGGTCACTGGACATATATGTATAAATACATGCATATAAGTATACATATAGGTATGCATATATGCATGTACATGCACACATTTAAATATATGTACACAGAGTTAGGTTCTCAAGTTTCCTTGTTTATTTCTTTAATCCAAAAATACTTTTCCTTCACTAGAAGTAGCAGGACAGGAAAAACTTGGGAGGATGAGTCTTCCTGACACCAGGCCAGATGCTCTATGCACTATGGCACCACCTAGCTGCCCACAACAAGTCTCTCTCTCTCTCTCTCTGGGCTTCAGTTTCTCCTGTCCCTTCCCTTCCATTTCTAGATCCTCATCATCTCATACCTGGACTGTTGCAGGAACCTCCTGAACATTCTCACATTTCCATATTAGTCATGTTGTGAAAGAAAACATAGACCAAAAAAAAATCCTCAAGAAAAATAAAGTTTAAAAGTATGCTTTAATCTCTATTCTGACACCATCAGTTCTTTCTCTGGGGATAGATAGCATTTTTCATCATAAGTCTTTCAGAGTTGTCTTGGATTATTGTATTGCTGAGAATAGCTAATTCACTCACAGCTGATGATCTTACAATATTGCTGTTACTTTGTACACAGTATACTTCACTTTGCATCAGCTCATATAAGTCTTTGCAGGTTTTTCTGAGAGCATCTTGCTCATCATTTCTTATAGCACAATAGTATTCCATCAAAATCACATACCACAATCTGTTCAGCCATTCCCCAATTGATGGGCACCCCTTCAATTTTCAATTCCTTGCCACCAGAAAAGAGCTGCTATTAATATTCTTGCACACACAAGTCCTTTTCTCCTTTTTTTAAAAATTTCTTTTGTGATATAGATCCAGTAGTGATATTGCTAGGTCAAAGGGTATTTGTGGCCTTACAGCCCTTTGGGCATAGCTCCAAATTGCTCTACAGAATGGTTGGATCTATTCACAACTCCACCAACAGTACATTAACGTCTCATTTTTCCCACATCCCCTCCATTCCTTTTCTGTCCTTATTAGCCAATTTAATAGGTACCTCAGAATTGCTTTAATTTGAATTTCCCTAACCAATAGTGAGTTAGAGCATTTTTTCATATGGTTGTACATAGCTTTGATTACTTCATCTGTAAGCTGTTCATATCTTTTGATCATGAATCAATTGGGGAGTGGCTCTTATTTTTATAAATCTGACTCCATTCTCTATATGTTTGAAAAATGATGTCTTTATCAGAGAAACTTGCTTCAAAATTTTTTTCACAGCTACTATTGCTAACTGTATTTCCCTCCATTCTATCCCCTTCCCTGTTTATTCTATTCTCTTTCCTTTCGACCTATCTCTCCTCAAAAGTGCTTTGCTTCTGACTACTCTTCCCCCAATCTGTCCCCCTTCTATCACACGCTCTCCTTCTCTCATTTTCTTTCCCTCCTACTTTCCTGTAAGGTAAGATAGATTTCTATACTCAATTGGGTGCATATGTTATTCCCTCTTTGAGCCAATTCTGATGAGAGTAAGGTTCACTCACTCCCTCTGAACTTCCCTCTCTTCCCCTCTACTGTAAAAGCTTTTTTTCTTGCCTCTTTTATGTGAGATAATCTTTCCCATTCTACCTCTCCCTTTCCCTTCCTCCCAGTACATTTCTCTCCCCCCCATTTTATTTTTTAGATATCATCCCTTCATACTCAACTCACCCCTGTGCCTTCTGTCTATATATATTCCTTCTAACTGCACTAATAATGAGAAAGTTCTTAAGAGTTACAAGTATCATCTTCACATGTAGGAATGTAAACAGCTAAATCCTATTAAGTCCCTTGTAACTTCCCTTTCCTGTTTACCATTTTATGGTTCTCTTGAGTTTTGTATTTGAAAATCAGGTTTGCTATTCAGCTCTGTTCTTTTCATCAAGGATACTTGAAAGTCCTCTATTTCATTGAATATCCATTCCCACCCCCACCCCCAAAAGGATTGTACTCTGTTTTCTGGGTAAGTGATTCTTGGTTGTAATCCTAGCTCCTTTGCCCTCTGGAATATCATATTCTGAACCCTCTGATCCTTTAACATAGAATCTGCTAAATCTTGTGTTATTCTGAGTGTGGCTCCCCAATTGTTTTTTTCTGGCTGCTTGCAATATTGTCTCCTTGACCTGGGAGCTCTGGAATTTGGCTGGGAGTTTTCATTTTGGGATCTCTTTCAGGAGGTGATCAGTGTATTCTTTCAATTTCCATTTTACCCTCCGGTTCTAGAATACCAGGGCAATTTTCCTCAATAATTTCTTGAAAAAGTAATGTGTAGGCTCTTTTTTTTGATCATGGCTTTCAGGTAGTCCAGTAATTTTTAATTATCTCCCCTGCATCTATTTTCCAGGTCAGTTGTTTTTCCAATGAGCTATTTCACATTGCCTTCTATTTTTTCATTCTTTTGGTTTTATTTTATTGTTTCTTGATTTTTCACAATGTAATTAGCTTCCACTTGCTCAATTCTAATTTTTAAAAAAATTATTTTCTTCCATGAGCTTTCAGCAAATTCTACTTTTTAAGGAGTTTTTTTTCTTCTTCAGTGAATTTTTGTGCCTTTTTTCTATTTGGTCAATTCTGCTTTTTAAGGCATTCTTCTCCTCATTGGCTTTTTGGACTTCTTTTACCATTTGGCTTAGTCTGTTTTTTAAGGTGTTATTTTCTTCAGTATTTTTTGTATCTCCTTTACCAAGCTGTTAACCCATTTTTCATGATTTTCCTGCATCACTCTCATTTCTCTTCCCAATTTTTCCTCTACCTCTCTTACTTGATTTTCAAAATCCTTTTTGAGCTCTTCCATGGCCTAAGACCAATTCATATTTTTCTTAGAGGCTTTGGATGTAGGAACTTTGACTTTGTTATCTTCTTCTGAGTGTGTGTTTTGATCTTCCTTGTCACCATAGTAACTTTCTATAGTTAGAATTTTTTTCTGTTGTTAGCTTATTTTCCCAGCCTATTTCTTGATTTTTAACTCTTTGTTAAAGTAGGGCTCTGCTTCCAGGATGGAAGGTGCACTGTTCCAAGCTTCAGGGGTTTTGTGCAACTGTTTTCAGAGATACTTCTAGGGACCTGCAAGTTTTCAGTTCTTCCAAGGTGGTATGATGTAAGGAAAGGTGTCTACTACTCTCCTGGTCTGTGCTCTGGTCTGTGAGTGATCACAAGCACTCTTTTCTGCCCTGGAATTGTGACAAAGGTCCCCACTCCACTGTGACCACCAGCTCTGGTGTATTAGTGTACTTCCTCACTCTAGGACTTCCATCCAAGACTTTGACCCAGATCTGAGTATGGGCAAAGCAACAGAGTCCTGCCTCAGGGCTAGCAAAAAAAAAAAAATATTCAGCAGCTCCCAAGGACTGCTCATGGGTTGCTGGAGCTGGGTTTGTGCTGGCATGCTCTGCACTGGATTGTGCCACACTCTTACCCAGGTGTGACAGACCTTTTCTGCTGACCTTCTAAGTTGTCTGTGGCTGGAAAATTATTACACCCTGTACTTTTGTGGGTTTGGCTGCTCCAGGAACTATTTTATGGCATTATTTAAAGGTATTTGGAGGGGTTTTGGGGACAGCTCAGATGAGTTGCTGCCTTTTCTTTGCCCTGTTCAACAGTGGTCATTCTAGTCTCCTTTCTATTGTTTGTTCAGTACTTAATAATGGAATATCCTTCCTTCCTTCCTTCCTCCTCTCCCTTTTATCCACATGGGGAATCATACTCTTACATATGAGTGCTCTAACCAAAGGAATATAAATTTTGATCACTAAAACCTTGCAAGATATTTTGGGGTTTGGAGGGCTAGATTTTTTTCTCTTCCCTAATTATTTATTTTATTTTTTAAAAACTGGGACAATTAACTCTTTTGATCTGCGTAGGTTTCATTTATGATTTCTTGAAATAGAGCTCTGGAAAACCAGGCTTTGATAATCCATTTGGATTCAAAGGGAGTTACTTGACCATGCCTTAAACCCAAATCACTCTGGTTCTCGCTGGTTGGCCAGTAATAGGTCCCAGACCAAGCCTCACTTGATCATTGTTTGGGTTTTGATGACTCAGAGCATAGGTTCCCAAGATAGGTGCTATCACCCCCCAGGGGGTGCTGGAATGATCCAAGGGGGTGGTAGTAGCTTCAGATGTAATTGGGGGGCATTGAATAAAAATAAAGGAGTGGTGGAAGCATAAGGAAAGAAGAGAAGAACATTTTGCAAAATCTTTCATACATGTTTCATATGTTGTATAACAGAGTTAAAGTCAGTGATCACATTATCTTCCAAACAAATACACAAATACAAGTTTTAACCACTCAGTGCTCAAGTCCACCAACAGGTTTTAAGAGCAAGTGTTGGCAGATGAGCATGTCAGGCATTGTTGGGAAGTCCAGCATACATCAGCTGGAATATGTGTGTGTTATGACATGCTTACAATATGATACTACACAGTTATATGACATAATATTGCATCATCAAAATTTCAATACAGGAAAAAACCCACAAATTTACAATAAACTATTAAATTTAAGATGCATCTTTTTTTAATTTATATTTTTTTTGAAATGACAAAATTTTAAAAAAAACCACAAAAGATTAAACAAAGTAGATTCCCAAGGGGAGCATTGAGTAATTTTTTTTTAAAAGGGGATGGTAGGGGAAGCTAGGTGGCACAATGGATAGAACACCAGCCCTAAAGTCAGGAGGATCTGAGTTCAAATCCAGCCTCAGACCAAACACTTGATACTTACTAGCTGTATGACCCTGGGCAAGTCACTTAACCCAAATTGTCTAAAAAAAAAAAAAAAAGAAAGAAAGAAAAAAAAAGAAAAAGGGATGGTAGGCCAAGTAAGTTTGGAAATCTCTAGCTCAGAGTAAGTGTATATAGCAACTGTTTCTGTTCTGGCCAAAAGCTGTAAGGGTCTTCCCCTCCCATCTTTATTTATTTATTTATTGAGTGGGCAAACTAGGTCATCTTTTGCCTCATTTCTTACCTAGTCTTGGATCACTGAATGGGTGTTGCCTCAGACAAACTGAGACCTTGGAAAGACCTTAGCTTAAAAAGGCCAAGGTGTCTCACTGCATCTGGGGCCATCTCCAGTCATCCTGACTGATGTCTTGCCACTGGATCCAGATGACCCTGGAGGAGAGAGTGAGGCTCTTAACTTTGCACAGCCCTCCCTCTCTTAAAAACAATTCACTTGCAAGTCAAGACATCACCCTCCTGCTGTCATTGGTCCTCCTTGAGAATGAAGGATGAACAACAACAACCTAATAATGAAATATTCTATTTGTGTCCACAGTGAGATGTCCAAGAAGAATCCTATGATGGATGCCCTGCTTGAGTTGAGATGCCACTTCACATGGGATTTAATGAGAATAGACATTTACTTGCCTGATTTAGAAAACAGAATTCTGGATGAGATTGAGTTCCTGGACACAAAATTCAATGTGGGAATTCACAACATGTTGGCCTATGTGAGGCATATAAGGGGTCAAAATGAGAAAGCTCTGGAAAGCTTGAGAGAAGCTGAAAAATTGATTCAAAAGCTGAATGATGATCAAGGAGAGATAAAAAGCCTCGTGACCTGGGGAAACTATGCCTGGATCTATTATAACATGGACAGACTCCCTGAAGCCCAGACTTACCTGGAGAAGGTAGAAGCAAGTTGTAAGAGGCGTTCAAGCCCCTTCCGCTATAAAGTAGAACTTCCAGAAATTGACTGTGAGGAAGGGTGGGCCCTGCTCAAGTTTGGAAAGGAGTATTATGAAAAGGCCAAAGATTGTTTCCAAAAGGCCCTGGAATCAGATCCTGAGAACCCTGAATTTAACACTGGATTTGCAATCAGCATGTTTCGTCTGGACGGTCAGCACACTATTCCTCAAGTATCTAGTATTTCTCTAGAGCCGCTACGACGGGCAGTCAGAATCAACCCAGAAGATAATTACCTTAAGGTTCTTCTTGCCATGAAGCTCCAAAGCCTTCATCAAGAGGAAGAAGGAGAAAAGTACCTTGAAGAAGCTTTAGAAAATACATCATCACAGCTCTACGTCCTTCGCTATGCAGCCAAATTTTACATCAAGAAAGGGTGCCTGAATAAAGCTTTTCATTTCTTAAAAATTGCTTTGCAAGCCTCTCCATCGTCTGCTCTCCTACATCACCAGATGGGATTTTGTTACAAGACAAAAATGATTAACATCAAGAAAGCTACCAACTACAAGCCACAAGGCAGGGATAGACAAGAGCTTGAGAAAGTAATTCAATCAGCCATATTTCATTTTAAAACTTCAATAGAGAACAGACCCACATTTGAGATAAGTCATATAGAACTAGGCAACATGTATGCAGAAGCAGGTGACTTCCAAAAAGCAGAAGAAAGCTACAAGGAGGTACTAAATATGAAACAACTTCAAGATAGTGTAAAGCAAAATGCCCTCTATAACTATGGCCGCTTTCTAGAGACTCACAGAAGGTCCGAGGCTGATGCTCTCACCCTTTACCTGGAAGGACTAAAAATAAACAGAAAACATAAATGGCTTCTAATTGGTTTGGAGAAACTCGCTAAAAGGCGTCTTCAGCGAAATGCATCAGATGTGGAGAGTTTGAGTTTCCTAGGATTCATCCATAAAATGAAAGAAGAGCCAGGAGAAGCCATACAGCTCTATGAGACAGCCCTAGAGTTGGGCTCCTCCCTTCTGCTTTCTAGAATGGCTCTATTCCCTCCAGATGCTGCTCAGGCACTAGCTTCTTCATGAAGCCTTTCCAGATCCCTTCAGTTGCCGCTGCATTCTTTTCTCAGCAAACACCTTGCATCTACAGAGTTTAGTTGTACCTATTCCGTTCAAACTCATTGTGCATTTTTTTCATATTGACTTGTTGTCTACTAGAATGCAAACTCCTTGAGAGTAAGGATCATTTCAGTCTTTGGAATTGTATCTCAAATGTCTAGCACAGTGCTTAGCACGATGCCTGGTACATAGTAGGTGCCTAATAAACTAATAATTGAACAATGATTCAAACAAGTACAAAGGACTCATAAAGGAAAATGCTATCCATAGCCTGATAAAGAACCGATGGACTATGAATGCAGATCGAAGTATATCTTTTTCACTTTAGTCTTTCTCATGTTTTTATTTTACTTTTGATCTGTATCTTTTCCCACAATTGTAGTGAATATGGGAAATATGTTTTACATGATAGCATATGTATTAACTAAGAGGGGAGGGGAGGGGAGGGAGGGAGAAAAATTTGGAACTCAAAATCTCATAAAAATGAATGCCAAAAATTTTCTTGATTTGTAATTGTGGGAAAAACTAATACTATTTAAAGCAAAAAAAATGTTTTAAAAATAAATGTTTATTGACTGACTGATTGCTGGCTTATTGATGGATGGATGAATTGGATGCTGAAAATAAAAGCCTCCATCAGTGGCTATGATAGATTTATCTCTTTGTCTCTTTTTATTCTTCTAACACCTTCACAGGCTTTCTTCTTACCTCTGAACACCAGTCCTCTCTGTTCTGCTGCCACTCTTCTCAGTGAGAGTTTGGATGCTCATCAATAATATTTACCTCTTTTTGGCAGATCACTTTCCAATCTATATCTCTAGTGGACCGATCCACATTGTTCCAGTCCCATATCTCCAATATCTCAGGACATTTCAACTCACATATCTCACCATAACTGCATACTGTAAACGCCCCCAAACCAAACATATCTTACAAATCATAGCCTAATTGTCCCTATGCTCTTTTTTCACTAATAAGGAAATTGAGGCTCAGAAAAATGGGGTGTCCCAAAGTCAAGCAATGATCTCACTGACTGTTCTTGTCCTTTATACCACCACATCACCTCCCACTAGTTAATCTGGATTTAAATGAAATTACTTTCCCCAAATATCTTCCAAATCATTCTGCCCTAAACAAGGGTCTATATTCTTAGATTTTTCTTTCTTTCTTTTAAAAAATGCATAATTTTTAGAGATTGTTCATAAGATATAGTATAGGGGAAGGGATATAATCAGAAATGACAGCGATTTAAAAAAAAACATCTCAATTAGAAAAATAATTCTGTATTCTTAACCAATCTTCTGTCACAGTATTCAGCCTTCACTATTAAGTGACCTTTCCCCAAAATGACCTCTAGCTAATTTGTGAATCAGTCTCATTTCCAGTTTCTTTTTTCCCAACTGTCCCCACCCCATTCCCTATGGCTAAGTATTTTATCAGTTGATTGTTTTTTTTTCTTTGTCTATAATACTGTACTTTATCTCCTTGAGCCTTCCCTATGATTCTAGTCTGAATGTTGGGTCCTGGGAACAAAGGGTCATGAGACATAAATAAGACTTCTTTTGGGGAAATTAAAAATATAGACAGAAATTTTGAAATAGATGAACTTTGTCCCTCCTCAAAACCTCAGTCACAGAATTCATACAACTGGAAGGGAACTTTTAGGCGGATCTTATCCCTTTCCTAATTCCCTCAAAGCTTCATGCTTTGAAATTACCCTGTCTCTTTTCCTACTTTCTAATTCTGAATTCCATTTGCGTTCCAGTGCAGTTTTTTTTTCCCATTTGGGATATAATTCATTCCGATCCATAATGTAATAAACTTAAAAAGTAACATATCTTGCAGAAACAGTTTGCGGATGACAAAATCTAGAATCCAGATAACTAAATTCTGTCCTCTGATGGATTATGATGGTTGCTGAAAGGAAAAATTGATCTAAAAGGGAAAGCAACATAAGTTAAATCTCAGTAACACTAATACCTTAGAACCTCCTTAGTCTTACAGAAGTATTTAGATTTTTAAAGAGTTAATATTTGTTGGGGCAGCTAGGTGAAGCAGTGGATAGAGCACTGGCCCTGGAATCAGGAGGACCTGAGTTCAAATTTGGCCTCAGACACATAACACTTACTAGCTGTGTGACCCTGGGCAAATCACTTAACCCCAATTGCCTAGTCCAAAAAATAAGTTAATATTTGTTAACTCAAGGTTCAATTGAATAAATGAAGTGAATGTTTCAGGCCACTGATGGAAATATTTTCACAGACTCCCTGAAGCCTAGACTTACCTAGACAAGATAGAAGCAAATTGAAAAAGGCTTTCAAGTCCTTTCCGCTATAAAGTGGAACTTAGAGAAATTGATTGTGGGGAAGGGTGGGCCCTGCTCAAGTTTGTAAGTAAGTATTATGAAGGGACCAAAGTTTATTTCCAAAAAGTCCTGGAATCAGAGCCTAAGAACCCTGTATTTAACACTGGATTTGCAATAGCCATGTTTTGTCTGGATAACCCTAGCAGAGGAGATCATCCTAGCATTTCTCTAGAACCACTAAGACAGTCAATCCCAATCAACCTAGAAGAAGCTTACATTAAGGTTTTTGCACTGAAGCTCCAGGTCCTTGATCAAAAGGAGGAAGGAGAAAAGTACCTTGAAGAGGCCTTAAACAGTGTGTCATCACTACTACCTTCTCTATGCAGCTAAATTTTACTACAAAAAATGGTGCCTGGATAAAACTCTTCAATTCTTCCAAAAATGATTCAAATCAAGACATCTAACAACTACCAACCATGAGGCAAGGATAGACAAAATCTTGAGAGAGCAGTTCAGTCAGCCACATTTAATTTTAAAAGTACAATAGAATATAATCCCACATTTGTAGATAGTTATATAGAATTAAGCAACATGAATGTAGAAGCAGGTGACTTCAGCAAAGCTGAAGAAAACTACCAGAAGGTACCGAATATTAAGCAACTTAAAGATTATTTATATGGCTGCTCTCAACAGGAGGTATGAAATTGATAGTGTCTCCCATTACTTGGAAGGATTAAAAATAGATATAGAGTCAAATATACAAAATGTATACAAATATACAAATATCTATCCACTGTGGAGAAATTAGCTAAAAAGGTTCTTCATTAAAATGCATCAGACATGAAAAGGTTGAGTTTTCTGGAGTTCGTCAGATCAAAGAACCCTAAGAAGCCAGAAAGTGCTATGAGAGGAATCTGGGCCTGAATCCTGGAAATGAAGACCCTCTTGGCTATCAGTGATTTATAGTTACTTGTTATAGCTTGGGAAATCACTCCCAAAGTTCAATAAAAAGGTATTTCAATATAACTACAGTTACCTCTTCTACATCACAACTTTCCCCATCATGGTTTCAATATATCATGGGTCAGCACAAGAATGGGAATTTGGGGGGATTGTTGCAGAAGCAACAGATGACATGCAAAGGCCAGCAGATAACACAGAAAAAGTTTAGAAACTCAGAAATTCATAAAATACATGTATAGTACTATAGAATATCAGCATATTTTATCTTTTAATACCATAACAATTCACATTTCTTTTTTGGTACAAAGATGGAGCCAAAAATTTTACACTGATTTTCCAGATTACAGGGAGGCACCATGCCCCTAATCTCCATGATAAGAAAGGGATAACTGTTTTACTTTAATTAATAAAATATCTATGTTACTTCCTACTCTAAATAAAATTGATATGCCACTACCTAGCCTCCCTGATTCTAAAAGGCAAAGAAGAAAACCAAACTCACAGGAGCAAACATGAAAAAGGAGCATTTACCACAAAGAAAGGTAAAATAAGGCAAATTATTAGAAACTATTTTTGTAAATTGTATTCCAATAAAATTGATGACAAAGTGAATAAAATTTTACACAAATATAAACCACTGAGATTAACAAGGTATGCAATAAAAAGATTTTAATATAATCTCAGAAAAAGAAAGTGAATTAAGCTCAAGTACAAATTAATTTATGTGAACTTTCAAAGGACAAAAAAAACCAGATCCAGTTGGATGTGCAATTGAATTCTATCAAACATTTACACAATAATTCTTTAAATAAATTCTTTGCTAAAATAAGGGGGGAAATTTCTACCAAATTCCTTCTAAGAGGTAAGTATGGTCTTGATCCTTAAACTAAGAATAGACCAATAATTTTAATGAAAATAGACATAAATAAATATAACAATATTAGTGAAGAGGCAAAGCTTAAAAAAGATTGGATTTTTATCAGGAAAGTAAGGTTGGTTCAATATTAAGGAAACTATAAAACAACATATCATATTAATATCAAAATACAAATGATATCTCAATAGATACAAAAAAGGCTTTTGACAAAATATAACATTGTTGTTTTTAAAAAATATATTAAAATCACAGGAATAATCAAATTTTTTCTTAACATGGTAAATAAAATGCCAAAGGTCAGCCTTTCTAAGAAGATCAGGGTAGGGGCAGCTAGGTGGCACAGTGGATAGAGCACCAGCCTTGGACTTAGGAGGACCTGAGTTCAAATGCGGCCTCAGACACAAAACACTCATTAGCTGCGTGACCCTGGGCAAGTCATTTAACCCCATTGCCTAGCCAAAAAATAATAATAATAATAAAATAAATTCTAAGTAAACTTTAAAAAAAAAGATTAGGGTAAAGCAAGATCTATTACCACTATATTATTCAATGTAGTATCACAAATGCTAGTTATAGCATGGTGAGATGCTCTACATAGAAATATAGTAAAAAATTAATTGAAACAATTAACTAACCAGCAAAACTGCAGGGTTAAAAATCCACAAAATTAATCTTTTCTACATTATCAATAAAGCCAGTAAGAAGAAATATTCCATTCAACTTAACTACAGAATGTAAAATAAATTGGGATTCTACCTGCTAAGACACACATAAGAATTATATAAATAAAACAGAATCCTTTATGTAAAGATAGACTTAAACTAATGGAGAGATATGAATTGCTCACGGTGGGGGAGGGGGACTGAGCCAACATGTTTAAAATGATGTACGATTATGCTCATTTACTTATTCAGTACCTTACTTATCAAACTGCCAAAGAATCCCTTAAGAATTAGTCCAAATAATAAAATTCATATGCAAAAACAAAAAGTTAAGAACTTCAAGGGAAACCATGAAAAAAGTGGGAAGGAAGGAGGCCTAGCATTACCAAATCTCAAATTATACTACGAAGCAGTAATTATTTTTTTATTAATTTATTTTGATTTATCAGGAATCACTTCCATATGCTTTTGAGTTTGAAATTTTTCTCTCCCTTCCTCCCCACCACCCTCCCCAAGATGGCACACAATCTGATATAGGCTATGCATTTACATTCATATTAAACATATTTTCACATTAGTGATGTTGTAAGTAGAAATTAAAACCAATAGGAGGAACCATCAGAAAGAGGAAACAAAACTCAACGGAAGAGAAAAA